ATTTTTTAATATCAATTTCAGAGGGTTTGATACAGTATTTATTAAATTTATCAAAAGCTTTAACCAAATTTTGTAAATAAAGCTTTCGATATTATATCTAAAATAAGTTGAATTAGAATTAAGTATAAATAAAGTTAATATTAATTATATTATAACTAAAGAATTATTAAATCAATTACATTTCTCACCTTAAAACTATTTATGATACTTTGATCACAAGGTTGGAAATGTGCAGTGGTGTTTGAGAGGAGGGATTGAATAATGATGTTAGTCAAATAGGTGGTTTCATAAAGAGCGTGTGTCAGAGCATTATTCACAAGAAGGATAATTTTCTGATTTTGTCTTCTCATTTTTGTATTGAGTTTTTTTATGTAATTATTTCAGATTGAAACCTGCATCTAACTTTTTTAGTTCTAATAGTATTCAACTGAAAGCATTTTTTTATCAATATTCTTAATAACCTTAGGATTTTCATACTTGTGTATGAATAAAGGTGTTAGTATTTCATTTCCTATTGTATTGTATGTAAGTAGGATTATACATAATCCTTTGATTGTTTCTTTTCTAATGTTTATTTATTGAATATCATTCAACAGTTCTATTTCATCACAATTGAATATATTTTTAGGACTATATTCTTTTAATATTTATCAGAGATTCTCTCTTATTGTTTCAAGATCTTTGAGCGATGTACTTATAGCTTTCCTATGTATAACATTCTGTTTAAAGTTATATCATTTTTTAAAGTTGTCCACCCAATCACTAAACCTTTTAAACTTATTCTCCTTTAATAAAAAAGTAAAACTCAAGGCTTTTGTTGAAAGAATATCATCAGTAATAAAGATGGTACTGCAACTGGTTACAACCAGTAACAAATAAGCATCACAGGGTTATAACTAGTTGCAACATTAATAAAAATTGAGTTGTAACTACAGTCGAACCTCTATATACTGATGCTTCTGTTTTGAGAAAATATATTAGTATACAGAATTATCAGTATACTATGAAAATTTTATATACTGATATTATTATATTATGTTGATCAAATATTGATATATGCTAATTATCATATTAAACAATTGAAATTTATTATTATTGTATTTACATATATTATATTATTATTATATCTATATATATTATTTGTTATTGAATAAAAATTATCTAATATAGTTTGCTTTGAATTATTAATATGTGATATCAATACCCGATATCTTAATTTCTTCAAGATATTCAATTCATCTGGATTAATAGAAGTTTTTGATGTATATTTAAAAAATAAAACAAAATCATTCAAATGATCTAAGGCTTCTTTGTTTAAAATTACTTCTAAAGGTCCTTCATTAGGATCTATTTCTGGTTCATTATTCTTAGATTTTACCATTAACACAATTTCTTCATCACTTAACCCTTCACTACTTTTTAAGTTGTTATCAATATGAAGAAAATCTGTTACATCCATAAAATCATCATATGGAAGTTAGTAAATTAGCTTTTGTATCTCTATTTCATTACAAATTATTTGATCATCATAATCCTCAATTTATTATCATTCATTTCATCTTGTGGAAGAATTCCTGTATATTACCAATAATTAAAAATTGTCTGCTGATTTATAGAATTCCAAGCACTTTTGCTAAAATTAATAGCATCATAAATGTTTAGTAGAATAGTCTTTTTTCTCAATTCTTGTGAAATTTCATATGCCTCAATCCTATTTCTAATGAGTAATTTTTGATATTATGCCTAAATTATTAAGAAATTACATGATTAGTATAATTTGAATTTAAATTTTTTTGCTATTTTAAATTAATAAAAATATTAAAAAATTTACTGATTTTAAAAGATTTAATTATTCCTACATTACAAGACTGTAAATGTGCAGTAGTGTTTGATGGCAAAAAGTATATAGCCACGTTCATTAAATTTATATTTTCATCTATGATATGTACTGACGCATTATCAATTAGCAAAAGAATGTAGTGATTTTGCAATCGCATCTATCTATCCAATTTTTTAAGATAATTATTCCATATTGAAACCTGCATCCAGACAGTTGAATTCCAGTAATAATCAACTGGTAAGTCTTCCTTTTTTATTTCATTTAATATTTGTGAATTCTGATATTTATGGATAAAAAGTGGCTTTAATTTTCAGTACCAGTTGCATTGCATGTAAGTAGAAGCATTACATATTTTTGAATTTTTTTTCTAGAAAGTGGATCTTGCGTTAATGTTTTATTGGCTTAAGATCCCAATACAGTCCTAAAATAAACAGAAAATATTAGAAAATTATTTAATTTTTTTTTTTAAAAAAAAAATTAAAATTATCTGTTTTAACACAGTTAAAAACATCTTCTAAATTATAATCTTCAATAATTTCACATAAATTTTTTCTTTTCTTATATAATGCTTCCAATAGTGCACTTTTTGCTTCACCCCATTAACATATTACTTTAAATTATAACGTTCTTTAAATCTATTAGTCCATCCATTAGAAGCTGTGAAATTATCAACTTCAAACTGCTGTGCAAAAAATTTAGCTTTTTCACATAAAATATCAGTATTAATAATAAGATCTGTAGCAAGTGCATTAGTTATTCATAATAAAAGAGCCTCTTTTATTTGAGGAAAACAAACAGACTTTTCTCTCTGTTTATTTAACTCTTTTGAGTTTGGATCTATACTCAGCCACTTTTCTTTTTTTTTTAAAATATCTGAAACAGTATTTTGTTTAATTTTATATAAAGTGACAAATTCTTCTTGAGTAAGTCATAGTATTTTTTGATAATCTAAACAGATTTGTCTTTTTTGTGTATATGTTAAAACAATTCTTTTCTTTATTTGAAAAGTATCTTGGGTTGATTTTCTTTTTACATGTAGTTGAGACATGATTTCCCAATGCAAATAAAAATATACTACAACATATTAAGTAAAATTATATGTTAGTATAACCTAAAATATTAGTACATATTATTATATATTAATTATAAGGGACAAAAAAAAATATTAGTACATATTACATCATGAAACTATATATAATATCGGTATAACAAGGTTTTTTTATTAATTATGAAATAGGATATGAAAAATTTATCAATATAAGCAATTATTAGTATATACAATATCAGTATATAGAGGTTTAACTGTAGTTGTAACTAGTGATAAATAAGCATCACATAGTTGCAACTAATTGCAGCGCTATCTTTAGTCAGTAATAATAAAGCTAACTTTGAGTACATTATTTACCCATATTACTAACGCTTCTTTAATGAGAAGAAATAGAGTTTTCTTATTACATTTTAAATTAACTTGATATAAATTAGTATTTATAAAAACTAACAGTCTTTTTCCTTTAAAATGTCACTTATCATGACTTCACTAATGTTAATTCATTAGTCAAGTCTTTTTGTTTTAAAAAAGGTGATGATATTTTTTTCAAACAAAGTTCTTTATTTTATGCAGCTGTAAGAGACTTTCATTTTTTTTTAAAGATTTATCTTATTTATTAGTAGGTTGATTAAGTTATTTCTTTGAGTTTACTTTTGACATTATTGGTATTATGCAAAGAAAAAAAATGCATAAAAAATAAAATATATAAAAAAAATATAAAATATAAAATACAATGCGTAATGTGAATATTTATTCATTTTTTAATTTTATTTAAAAACTAGGTATAGAGAACTATATAATTTTATATACATAAATCTAGTAAAATTTATTTTAAGCAAAACTCATTGTATCAAAAAAAAAATTGTTATAGAAAAATTTGTTATAAAAAGAGTTATTTTATATATAAATTTTTCTAACTTTAATTTGTTAAACGTAGTATAAATTTTTAATTACTAAATTCAGTATAGTAAGGGTTTTTTTATATTTAAAAATCTGTCTAATATTAAAAATCTGTTGTATTGTAAAATTTGTTATATCAAAATTCATTATAAAAAGAGTTGACTGTAATGTATTGTTTATTAAATAATTTAAATAATTTGATCAAATTAGGTTAGATTAGATCAGGTCAGGTCAGGTAACTTACTTGACCTAACCTGAACTGACTTGTTCAGAGCTCTAGATATATTATAAATTTATAGATTTTAAAAACATACATTACGTTTATACTTATTCTCAAGTCTAAGACAAATTTTATATTTTTTAGTGATCTCATTCAATCTTTTTTTATTCATCATTCTTATATTTGTAAGTTTGTTCTCATAACCTTTTGATAATTAATTTGTTCATTTTTTTATTTCCTTTTATGATCATATATAAAATATTCTTCACATTGTTTATTTATTTCACATTTTTTTACACCTTTAAAAGATCTCAGGATTAGTGAGTTTGTTGCTCATTTTTTTTATATTGAACTTTGATTTGAAAAATTTTATTGTAAGTAATCTGATTTTATTATTAATTTTATTAATTATTAGTTGATATTATTTATTATTATATTAGAAAAAAAAAATCAAATTATATAGTTTTAGGTTAGTAAGATTTTTATTTCAGATTAATTTTATATTTAGATATAATTAGGATTTTATTATAAAATTTTTTTTTACAAGGCCAATTATAATAGAAAATAAATAAATTTATAAAGTATAAATATAATAAAAAAGTATTAATATTGTACAGTAACTCAAGAAAGTATTCATAATTTTGTAATTTTATAGTAAATTAAATTTAAATTCAATTAACTATTAATTAAATATTTTTAACAAGCTTTTAAAGCTTTATTATCAATTTATATATTTACTTTATTTAATATAAACATAAAAATATATTTTAATATTTGTAAATTCACCTTTTACTTTAATTATTATTCTGACATATTATTAATTAAATTAGATAAAATATGAAATTTCAATTTGTTTTACTCTTTTTTTAAGGCTATTTTTAACTGTTTTATTTTCTAATAGTTTTCTCTTAGATTGAGATCTGATGATTAGGCTGGCCAAAGTATCAATTAATCCTATTCTTTTTTTTTATTTATGAGTTTTTTTTACTAGTATGAATTTTAGTATTATTATCTTGAAAGATAAAAGTAATGTCAAATTTAGTTTTTATAGTAATATTAAATTCCTTAAGATGATTATTAAGAATTTTTATATAATTATTAGAATTTATGCATTCTTCTTTACAAATTACTAATAGTCCCAATCTATTATTTATAAAACAATCTCAAACTATAATAGATTTATGTTTACTTTTAAAAGTAAATCTTAAACAGTTTAAATTATACTATTCACTAACTTTCTCTATACTAATTTACATTGAGAACTTTCACCAATTTTACACTTGACTTATTAGACCAGATAATATTATTTTATTTTGATATATTTTAATTAATATAGGAGGATTTCTAGGAAAATCAGATTTTGAGAAATTTTTGACTTAAATTAAGAACTTAATACATTTTAATCTAATAACATCAAAAACTAAAATGCAATAAAAATTTTAATTTTGTTAAAAAATTCCCAAAACCTGATTTTTCTAGCAATCAACCCATATATTCTTTATATTAAATAAGTTATTTCTTTCAATTTTTATCTGAAATAAATGGTTTTTTAGCTATTACATGAGATTTAATACTAACCTTATAAAGATATTTGTTAGCTGTTATTGTTAAAATATTCAAACTAATATTTGCTATTAGTTCCTATAAAGGAGCACATTTATTTCTTATTACTTTACAAATAAGTAATTATTTTGCTATTTTATAGCTATAAGAAGTTATTCAGAATATAGTAAATTTTCAATATTTTTTATTTTTTTTATATTTTTTAATAAATGAATAAATTATATTATCAAATATTTTTATTTGTTTTACAATTTGAACATTTTTAAAATTATTATTTAATAAAGTAATAATATCATCTTTTTTTCTAATTTAAATTCTCTAGTTTTAATCATTTTATATTTTGATTAAAGTAGCATTTAATTTATATAAATAATCAAAAAAGTTTATTAATAATTTTAGTGTTATAATATTATTGTTAAGAATTAATTGATAATATAATATTACAATATTTTTTTATGCTAAAATTTACTAAAATTACAAAACTGCAAATATTTTCTTAAACAACTATATATATGCATTATTTTTTAATTAAAATGTAATATATTTATTTAATAAACTTCTATAATCTATTTTATTAAAACTTATTTATGTTATATTTTCTAATAGTTTATTTTATTAAAATTTTTTATATTATATTTTTTAATAGTTAACTATTATTATAATAATAATTAATTAAACATGTAAGTTAACTTGATTGTATTACATTTTTAATAAGCATTTTATGTTACTTTAGTTAGATTTTTATTCTGAATTTAATAACAGTTTACTATTATCTAATATAATTAATAAACTATTATAATACTGTAAAAATAGTATGTAAAATTTATGTGCATAATGTGTACATGTATACATTAAATTTTTATATATATATTATACAGTATAAAATGTATATAAATAATTACTAAAAATAGATAAATTATATATAAAAATGAATAAATTATTATAAAAATGAAAATACTATATATTTATACATTAATTTTTTATTTTAATATAACTTGTACACATGATTTTTGATCTAAATTTTATATATACTGCTTAAAAGTTTTTAATTTTGATTATGGTTAGTAAAACTATAATCTTATATCTTATATGAGAGGTTTGCTAGAAAAATAGAACTCTAAGACATTTTTTACTAAAATTGAAATTTTTGTTTTATATTAATTTATAATATGATAACTTTAATTGGTTAAATTTTTAGAGTACTTTAACTTAATATTAAAATAAATAATTAGTAAATTAATTTTTCTATAGTAAGTCTAAAAATAGAATTTAAAAATGATAAACATTATTAAAATACTATTTAAGAAATAATCGATATAATTTAATATTTTATATTATATATAATAAAATTTTAAAATAATATTTATTAAAATAAAAAATAAATTTTTTTGATATAGTATAATGATTTTCTTAAAAATATTTGCTTCTCAACCAACCATTTTATCATATAAAATAAATTATCTGATTTAAAAATTATAAAAATAGTTTGCCTCAACATTAAAGCTCAATTTTATTTATTATATTATGCAAATTTCAGAGCTTCTTTTCTTAGCAAACCTTCTATATAATCTTATATAATAAAAAATATATGTATAATAATGATGTTTAGATTACTTATATAAATAAACTAATTAAATTGTATACTATTATACAAATATCAAAAAAGAAAAATTTGTCTTCTAGTAAAATTTAGCATAATTAAATATTATATAATTAGCTAATATAGTTTAATTTAAATAATCAACAAATATATTATATATATTATTGTAAAAGTAACAAATAATACTATTTATTAAAGTTACACATTATCACATAAAAATCAAATCTAAAACTTTGCATTTTGTTTTTTTTTTTTTTTTAAATAGATCAAATATTATTTTTTTGAGATTAAAAACTTTTTTTTATTAATAAATAGGTAAACTACAGTAAAATAAAGAATCTTATGCAATATGTAGACTAGTTAATGATAAAAAAACTTTAGATGATTAAATATTAGTCTATTAAGAAAGCAAATAAATATTCTCATATTATACTACCTATTTAACTTAAAATTAACAATAAGTTATATATAAAGTATTATAATGAATTAGTAGTTTATGATATAAATAAAATTAGAAATAAAAGCAAAAGAAAGAATAATAATTTTATTTATAATATTAGAGAAGATCAGAAATGGGTTTATTTATCACAATTAACATATAAATAATTATTAAATATTATTACAAATATTAAAAAATTTGAACAAAAAATATCAGAATTAAAGAAAAAGTAAATAGTTCTAATTCTGATATATAATTTATTTGATAATTTTTTTTTATTAATATATTAATTATTTTAATTTATTAATATATTAATTATTTTAATTTATTAATATATTAATTATTTTAATTTATTAATATATTAATTATTTTAATTTATTAATTTATTAATTATAGCATTTTAGATTATTTTAATGATCAAATAACACAAATAACTAAAATTATTTATCAAGATTAAAGGGAAGGAAATTTACCAAAATTAAATGTAACAGATTTTATTAAATTTATAGAAAGCTATGATTCAAAACTTTAAGGATTTTTTGATATTTTATTTAAAGCAATAAATTCTAAAGAAAAGTGTCAAAAAACTTAAGAGACTTTAAGATAAAATTTATGATATTTTGTTATTAAATGGTAAAATTGCAAAATAAACAAATAAGTGATACTAAAATTACTATTAGATTGTTTTTTGTTGAATCAGAAGCATCTACATATTGTGTTAATATCACTACCAAAATAGGATTTAGTATAATATATTAAATAACATTTAATAAACTTAATAAAATTGAAAATATATATCAATCAAGTGTACTATCTTACATTTAAGATTTTGTAAATTAGTTCTTTTTTTTTTAATATTAATTTTTTTACATTTAGAATTTTATTTTTTTTTTTTTGTATTAAATTTAGAATATTAATTTTTTTTTTATATTATTAAAAATATATTTTTATTTTATTTTTTTTTTAGTAAAACAAATTATAAATTATATATAAAAAAATTTGATTTTAAAATACTAATTATTTAGTTTAATTTAAGTTTTAGTTTAATAACTTTTAGTTGTATATATGGATGATTATCATAATATATATGGAACTTGTATTATGTCTACAAACTTTACTTTACAAATTGTTCATATGGTAACTATATTATTTAATATAATTCAAATACTACTAATTTTCTATTTCTCTAATTATAACTTTTCTATTTATAATCCTTATGATATTAATGCATTTCTTTTCAAAAATTTGTAAAAAATTTATTGTAAATTTGACTAAAAGTTACAACTTAATAAAATTAAACTGAAATTTTACAACAAATATAATTGATGATACAGACTTGATTGGAAACTTGATAGTTCATTCTTATGATGTGAATATTTTAGAAAAATATTATTGAAATTTGATAAAATAAAATTAATAGATTGTATTAAATTAGATCTAAAAATTATTTGCAAGCTGTTAATACATTTATTAGATTAGTATATAAATAAATTATAATTAAAAATTTAACTAATTTAATTTTTTTTTAAGATTACTGAAATTAAAAGATATTTTAAAAAGTATATAATTCTACTTCTAACTGATTTTTCAAACTAACTTTTTATAAGAAGAATAATTGTAAATAAATTGAAATTAGAATCAGAATTATTTATTCTAAATAAAATTACACATCTAATTCTATTTTTAGGATCTTTTCATATATCATTCAATATACATAAATCTATATTTATTACATTCTATTTTTTTTTTAATAGCATATATAAATTTGTTTTTAGAAAGACTAAAAAATTAGTGATAAAACTTAAACTATGAAGAATAAAACTTCTATTATATTTAGTACATTGTCAACAGAGCAATTGACTAGTCATAATGAAGTCACATGGATGACACAGTATGATGATCTTCTAATCTAGAATTCTGAAAATACTGAGAATTCTGTGAATTCTGAAAATATGGGAGATCTATATAATTCTAAAGATCTTTTAAATACTGATGATAATCATAATTTTATAAATTAAATGAAGTCTAAAAATATTTAATATTATATGTATTTCTAATATTCTAAATTTTATTATTATTTTTATTATATTTTATATTTTTATTATTTTACATATTTTTATTATTCTCAATATATTTATTTTACTTATATTTTATTTTGCTAAATTAGTTAGTTTATAATATAGTAAATAGTTAGCCGTGACAAAAGAAATTTTGTATAAATAGATAGACTTTTTACTTATGTTGTAAATTAATTCTTTTGCAGATTTGTAAACTCTTTTGCGAATACAAGTTTCAATATTAATAAAGGAATCAATTTAAAACTTATATCTTTTTACCTCTTCGTGTTTTTATATAGTCTGACGTGATCCCTACATATTATTTGTAATTGAGTTCATCATCTGAATTCTTTAAATAAAATTATTTACAATCTGTCTTTCAAGTCTTCATACTTGATAAATTTGTTAAGTCTAACGTGTAAATCTGGTAAAGTTAAGAGTTAGGCAGATTCTAACATTTTGACCATAGTAAACCGCAGTTAGGAATTTTGAGTAGAGACTTGATAATGTGACCACCTTGGGTTGAAAAATTTTACGGTGACAACATAAAGGCTGACTCCTAGTTAAAAAAATATATAAAGATATATTATTTATTACTTTTCTTGATTTGTTGAATAATCTAATACTAGTAAATTTAGAAATATATACTTACTTATTTAAAAAAAACAAATTTAAAGAATATGTTAATATTATATTTTTCCTTTGAACTGTCATATAATAATTATATAAACATAATTATGATAAAATTATATTTGCCTTTTTATCAGATATTTCTTATTGAAAAGTAATACAATATCCAATACTTGATATTTTAAAGTATTTTTGATGAATATCCAGTTGAAAATTTTTATAGTTTATTATGTTATTATACTAGTATAAAAGTATCTACTAGAAAATTATTAAGAAGAGATGCATTGTTTATAAATTATTGTCAACATAAAAATTCTTTTGTAAAGTCTTTTAAATCTAAATATAATTATTCCTATTTAAAAAAAAATCTTGATAGTTTAATTAAATTATCAGCTATTTTTCACTTAAAGTTTTTTAATAATTTATGAAAAAATACTAATGGAGTTGAATTAAAAAAAGAAGGAATAAAAATTAAAAAATATTATTATTATTAATTAGTAACTAATAAATTATATGATCACCCAAGATATATAGATTTATTATAGAATAATAGTCAAATATTAATTTGTAAACATTGTTACTAAATTCATTTTTATTTATCTTAACATTTAAATTGAGCAACTATGGCAGTTGATTCTACACATTGGAGTCTCTGATTTTATGATTTTCTCTAAGTCTTATAGATATCCGTTATACTTGAATCAACTCAGCAATTTTTTATGTCTTAGAATTTAAAATATATTTAATTGAACTCGTAATAATGAACTCAATAGTAAGTTAGTATAGTATATCACAATAATCCTAGGTGAAGGACAATGTTAAAGAGAAAAGTAATTTGTATAGATTTAAATTGATTCCTTTATTTATAATTTGAAACTCATATGAAACTTACAAATGAGTTAATTTATAACTTAAGCAAAAAGCTATTTTATTTATATAAAATTAATTTGCTATAGCTAACTACTTATTACGCTATAAATTAACTAAATATAGATATATGTTCTAATAAAAATATATTTAACATAATAAAAATAATAAAAATAATATAAACTATATAAATAATAAAAAGAAAAATTAAATTACAGATGTTAAAGAAATTACAAATAAAATAGAATAAACAGAATAAACAAACTATACAAAAAATACAGAAGAAATAAGTGTAATAGACAAAACAGAAATTATTGCTGATCACTGTTTGGTACAGCAATGACATCATCTAATGTGAGATCATTATTAATTGACAAATTTCACATGATATTTGAAGTTGTAATTTCTTCCGTTGACAATATGGATATCATAAAATTTGCTTTTATATTTTAGCTTTATATTGTATATATTATTATAATTACCTTTCTAATTTAATTGAAGAATTAACACAATCTTATAATCAAAGATTATAAGTAAATGAAGATATTAATAATTGGACAGACTTTCAAATACAAAATCATGAAGAAGAATTAAATAATATTGAAGTTATATCAAGAGAAATTGAAATTGATATAGAATTAAAGAAAAAGATATTAGGTAAGTTAATTTATTCTTTTTTAATTTTAATTTAATTTTATATAATTATTAAAAATTTCAACAGAATTTATTTGAAAATTATATACTAGTTGATTTTAAAATATAAATTTGTGATTTTAATTAATAAATAATATTATAAATAAAGGTTTTTCAAATAATTTTAAAGATAAAAAAATATAATTTTTTTATTTCAATAATGATAAATTTTTAATTTTATGTTACATGATTTTATTGGCTGATTAATGTTGATTGTTTCATAAATCAAACCAATAAATGGATTTTTAATTTTGCTGTAAAATTTGAATCAGGGATGACGATTTTCTGCAGTGATTAAGGATGAATTCTACGTGTGATAAAAGTTAATTCTGTGAAATTCTGTGATTTAGCCAGAATTATGCAAGTTCAGCCAACGTTACGATTCGCAAATTCTGGCCAAATTTAATATCAGCCAGCATTACGATGATAAATCGGCCCAAAATTTTGAAATTCTGTGAAATACAGAAAATCATCGAGTTTGAGTCTCAAAATTGGTCGCACAAATTTCCTTTTTTGATGTTCGTATAACGTCACGCGATCTACTCCGTTGCAAAGCAATTATTTATGTCGTACAAATATGCAAACTATCACGCGTTCAGACAAGCTTACATAGATATATAGAAAACGTCACGCGTGCGGACAACACGCGAAATTATATAAGAACTCAATATTTTAGATGAATTACCGAGTATATTGTTCCTCTTTTTTATTTTTAACCTAAACACTTTCTTTAATATTCAAGTCTATTGTTTCTCTTAAACACTATCCTTAAAAACTCTTCAAAGCCATATTTTACTTTCAAACAGTTCTTTAAGATCATTTTTTTATTAATCATTTCCTTCTTAGTGACATTAAAAACTTATTTCAAGATACGCAGTACCCAAAACGAATTCAATTGAATCAGGAAAAAGAGAAAAAGATTTAAGAAACTTATGATTTCATAAAGGAAAGGTTGAAAAACTGAGATTCAAAGGACATCAAAAAAGGTTAAACGCGAACCTTAAGAACCTAAAGAACCCAACCCAAGAAACCAACCTCAAGAAACCAACCTCAAGAACCCAACCTCAAGAACCCAAGTACCCCAAGAACCCCGAGAATCCAACCCCAAGAACCCCGAGAATCCAACCCCAAGAACCCCGAGAATCCAACCCCAAGAACCCCGAGAATCCAACCCCAAGAACCCCAGGAACCCAACCCCAAGAAAAAAAACAAAAAAAAAAATCGGGATGAATTTTTAACCAATTATTCATGTATATAAAACTTTGTCAAAGCAAATTTTTAGTTATATTTACTTTGTTCTTATCATGTATTGTTCACTATGAGATTTTAATAGTTGAATTTGAAGTAAATATTTTGATGAATTAAATTTAAATTTAATAATGACAAAAAATTAAAATCTTTTATTGTGATTTTTGTAATTTTGTGAAATACGTAATAAAAATGTGTAGTTTTCGCTTGAAAATACGTATCAAAATTTATTATAAATATAAACTTTAATTATGCTCCTGCAACGATATTTCATGATTGGATTTCCAACTGTTATAAAGAAGCATCCTCAGCTGCCAGGAGTATAATATCATTTAATCATACGTTTGTTGAACGATAGGATATTTATGGCAATTAAAAGCAACAAGTCTGAAATGCCAAAAAAAAAAAAAAAAAATATTTTTCGAGAATAACAGAGCATAAGAAAATTTACCAGTATCATGTGACAGCTAATATTAACAAGTTGTAATAGTTTTTTTTATCATATTAACCACATATAAAAGATACGATCATTCAAAAGAATATAAGGCTTCATAGATTTAATTAAAGATCAATTAAAATATTTATTAATAAATCATTAAATAAAAAAACAAAAACTCAAAGTATCAAGTAATTAAAAAAAGGAGAATCAGCATCAACAAGTTGCAACTTCTTTAGAGATGATTGTACAGTTTCTGCAGTCGGTATTGAATTCTGATATCATAAGTATATGTTCTGTCGATTTAATGATAAGATTAAAATAATCTTACCTTGGTCCAATAGCTGATCGATTGCAATAGATAAGATTTTCAAAATCTTTTTAGTTCCTCCAAAATTCCAAACGCTACCTGATCTGTATGATAGAAATACATTTATTTAGTAATGAATTGATTATTAAAAAAAAAAATTAATTCACATGAAACACCATTATCTACTCCCATATATTCAATTATGACACATTAAGATCAATCGGAATTATGAAACTTTGTTAAACAGATTAATTCACTTTTCCTCGCGAATTAGAATAAGAATAGCGCGTATTCTTTCATTCTGCCCACGGAAATAATTTTAGAAAAATCTACATTTGTGATTCAATATTTTTGCTAATAATGTCGGTGCATTAATGATAAACTCTCGGTTATTATCATCATAGCAGTTCCACCTTGATAATTGTCCGTGCCAATTCCATTTGAACTATCTTTCTAAATTATAAATGGTTTTTTATTCAATGAACTTGTAATAACACAATTTTATTAAAATAAATACCTTTTTTACCCTTCTCGTGTTGATTTACGCATAGACAAAATTGCTTAAATTGACAATAATTAATTACTTTTGTGAAAATATTTTCTGGCAAAATATTAAGCGGATTTGTTTCTGTCAAACACGGGGAGACGAAACCTTTATCGGAAAGTTTTTTTTTCATAACGTTGCAATGTTAAACTCGCATGATTAACAAATAGATTAGGAAATGCCATAAATGTTATAATCAGACTGGCCAATATTCCAGTTGGAATTCAGATACTGCTCTACTAAATGAACATGTCGCCGAGCGAGAATGCGACCAACTTTGTTAGTGCCATCAAAAAATCTAACTTTACACGGTTTCTTCAAAAAATGAAGTTTTTTAGTTAGTATGATCATTAAAAAATTATTAAAAATTGACATGTTTGAGAGAGAAAAAATAAACGCGTAATTTTAGCTTTTCAAAGCTTCTGAGGCGCGCACAGATCAATATATGTGCCATGTATTACAAAAAAATTATAATAGTTGGATCAACATCCAATAAAAAAAAAACGAATGTCTTGATCCAAAGAGAATATAAGTAAAACTCAAGTTGGTGATCCTTTCTCAGCTATATCTTCTCCCAGATGCAAAAATGATTCGCTCATCCATATCCTCAGATTCAATAAAAACAACGGATTCCCATCGTTTCTTATCGTTATTTCTTTGAATTATGAATAATTAAATATCTGTATTGTTTTCATTTTTATAATTACAATTTATTAAATAGATAAAGAAACTACAGAAATTGGAGAGAAGAAAAAAAAACTGAGATGATGTTGATCCTAAAAGACGTACTCGTAAAAAGGTTAATAATATTATTACAAGTGATTAAGTTAGAAATTAAATATATTAACGTGAAATTTTTTATAGACTACAATGTTGAAGACTATAGTGCAAAGAAATCTTCAAATACTTGGTTGATCCTCTTTTTAAAAAGACTTCTGCTGTTGAATAATTATCAGTCGAAACGGATGGCAAAAATAATAGATATTATCAGAAGATGATAACCCTTAACATTACTTAACATCGTTGTATTCAGATATTTGATTATTTTATTTATTAAATTAATAAATTTATTATCTCTCTTAATAGCAAAGTTTCTCTCAGAATTACAACAAATATTTAACAAGGATATTGAAAGATTTTAATTTAATTTCTTCATCATGTTGCTTAATCTTTTTATTTTTATTTTTTCAGGAGATAGCGATCTTGATTTTGATTATACTTTGAATAATGATGATGAAAGGGAGTTGATAGTGATTTTGTATGAAGAAAGGTTGAATAGAGATTATAATGATGTATTAAAGACGACATGTGCGATTGGTAGAAAAAGATTATGTCATGGCTATAGACGAAAATGAAGACATTGTTTCCTTTTTTTGATTCTGCGTTCTTACGTAATTGGACGGGTCCTGAACATTGGAAGTTAAAAAGAACTAATAAATCTACCATGTTAGTATTGATCTCATATTAAAAAGTAAAGATACAATAAATAAAAAATTACTGGAGCTATTACCTAAAATTTTTCCGTTTCTGTTGCTACGCGTGATGTATCTTTACACATCACGTGAAGCCTTTTGAAATCAGAATCCCCTTCTTTCAATAATGTCATCTCATTAAAATGATCGATTAATTCAAGCTTCCAACTATTGTTAGCATTAATTTTCTAATAAGAGTAAAAAATTATTTTAGTTTAAGTTTTCACGTAAAATGAATAATAATAAATAAAAAAAAAAATAAAAAAAAAATTATGTTAACGGTCGCCAATTTCGTACATTCTTTAGATTAAATGCATTTGTTCATCTAAAAAGTCAGTTTATATCAGGTTATCCCTAAGTGGAGTGATGATTAGAGGTATCACGTGTTAAGAGGATTATGAAACAACATCAACTTACGTGATATTTTAGATAATTAACGATTATTTGAATGGCGATTAATTTCGATTTACGTGTCTATGATTTAATTAAATATTAAACATAATATTGCAATATCCCTTCTTTTCGCGTTTCATTGATCAACGTTAATATCTCGGACTGAACTAAATCTACATTCGGCTGAACAGAATGTTAACTTTCTGAACAAATAGTAAAAAAAGGTATTACAGAGTAATATATACTTATAGTTTAGTCATTATCATATTTTAATTAATTAATCCATAATAAGGTAACCAACTCACCTGAAAGTTTTTTATTCAAAATGAATTAATCATTTTCTCAAATAGGCAAATCATTTTAAGGTATTATCCATGAATGTCAAAGAATTTAGAATTTCCGATAAGGGAAATTTTTACAATGTTAAGTGGAATTGCTAATTTTGAAATTCTATATTAGTTAATTGTTGGATTGTATTTAGTTATCCTATCATCTTAGTCTTTATCTCATTATTTCTCGATGCTAGAATACAAGTTCTGGTCGTGAATGAATATACAATAATTCATTTTTCATCTGTTAGAACTTTTATTTTTCATTTGTCTTAGAAATTTATTAAGAGTTTAATTCTAATTAATAAAGATTATGTCAATTATTTTTTAATGTTAGCATATACTTTCTGATATTTAAACAAGCTTGATTAGGATGTTATAGTTGCTGAAGAAGTGATAATTGTTCGTTGTCAACAGGCAAAAAATTATTTATGTAGTAATAGTGTAATTATAGTTGGTGTGCTTAAGTTACGAAGGAAAGACTATAAAAAAAGCCAGAAAAATTAGCGCATTTGGTAATTTAGGTCAGACCGAAATGGTATAATAATATTTTTTTAATGATCATAATAATTCACGTGGTTTATTAAATCTTCAAATTTTAATTCTCCTTTAATTTTTTTTTAAAAAAACAAAAATCTAGTTAGTAGAGATTAATATGATACAGTTGGCAAGTACAATTCATTGATCTATTAAACAAATAAAGGAATGAGTTTCTAAGTTATAGTGTTATCGAATAAATGGTAAGTTGAAATTAATTTATTAGTTTTAATTCTTTCATTATTACATAAATAACTAATAAATTTTATTCTGATTAGTAAAATGCTTTTGAAAATAGATTACCGTCTTCTACTTGAGCTAATAAAGATGAATCCGAACAGCAAATTCACGATATTTGAGGCTATTTGAGTGAATAAAGACATGGGTTGATTAAATATTATGTATATAACTAATATCTTCATAAGATGTTAAATCTGGATTTTCAAGGAAATTATTATCACATTGTGAGAAAAATTAAAGTCAGAGAAAAGTATCTTTACGTAAGCATCTTTATGTTTTGAAAGTGTTATGGACCTGTTCATGACCATCATTTGAACACAAAGGCATTGCCATGTCTAGTAGCGAAATTTGATCTTTTCTTAAAGAAAACCTTTTAAGGATCTAAATAAGAGAATGGTGAGTGTAAAATTTGTAATGAGGCTCGGATTGATGTTTTGAATTGCTTATGATTTCTATATCAACTTTAGTATTGAATATATATCATGCGATCATAGTTAACCTTTTTTTAATTAATATAATAGAGCAAATAGAAAAAATATTGGATTTCATGGTTTGGTAGGAAAATTTGGAGGTGTCAGCAAGTTGAATACATTGTAAACAATGATTTGGCATATCGACCAAGTGTTTGAGGAATCAAATCATTAAACAATGTATTGTTTGCTTAGGATTCCGATATAACACTATCATTTAAATATTCCATTTCCTAACATTAATGTCGAAATTCTGTTTGGTAAGCTATCGTATGTTATAACAATATTTTCTTTATTATACACTTTATATGATTCGTTAATACTAATTTTTTATAACGATAGCAAATTTTTTTTTTTTTTTAGACGCATATAGTGGAACTTGCGGAGTCTGTAGAATAAGGATATGATGATCGGAAAGGTACATTTATTTCAGGGGACCACGGTAGGTACATTTTGCTCTTTAATGACCGATTCCGTTCCACAAATGGTCTTCCGTCGACTTTTTGCTCAATTAGTTCATAGGTATGCAAATAACTCGAGATGTGATTATTATGGTAAATAATGCCCAAATGAATTTTTAGTATGTAGACTGACCATTATCGAAAGTTTTCATTGAGCGATAGGTAAAAAAAAACTTATTTCATTTTGTATGAATCTGTAGGAAAGAAAATTCGTATCACCCTTGTAGTTCTTTGGGTTCTTGGGTTCTTTGGGGTTCTTGTGGTTCTTGGGATTCTTGGGATTCCTCAGACTCCGTTTTTATTTTTCTGGTTTTTATTTTTTCGGGTTTTCTATATTACCGAAAGAACAATGCATCGTAAGACAAAATTATTTACTATTAGGAAAAAAATTAGCCCACTTCGATTTAAAATTATTATATGAGGCACGTGACTTAAAAAATGTTTTGTTACGTCATAAAAAAATAGAATATATTTGATTCTTTTCGTTTCACCCCCTTTAAAATCAAAAAAAATTTTTTTATTCAAAAAAAAAAAACGTATAAATCTTATAAATCTACAAAAAATTATTTTTACTTTATATATTTTATATGAAAAAACGATGACAATTACTACAGTTGTGAATTTTACAATTCAGAGTTTGACGACGACAACGTGTTTTAAACACAAAATCCTCAACATCAAATCCACTATGAGTAAGACAACAAAATACGATGGTGCAATTCGACTTCGCGAATGCTGCACCACAAGAAAGAGAATTAAGCAATTGAAGGTGGTCACGACTTATTCTGCAGTTGAATCAAGTGATTCGGTGGCCTTTAAAGAATAAAAGCGTCGACATGGATCAACGTGTTGACATATACTGCAATGCGAATCAAGTGATTCGTGGTTTTTAAACGTCGACCTGGATCAAGTGTCGACATACTCTGCAATCGAATCAAGCGATTCGATGGCTTTTTAAAGAATCTAAGTTTAATCTAAATCTACTTTTACATATTTCAATTTGTTTTTAACCATTTTTTTAACAAAAAAAATTCGCGTTAGTACTATTATGAAAAATTAGAATATTTAATCTTAATAATAGTTAATATGTATAGAGAATTTTATATCTAGACCAAGTGTTTATTATCAAAATAAAAAAAAATCTAAACTTTTATT